CCGTGAACCGCCCGCACGGGTCACGGGTCGGCCCGCGGTCCCGGTTTCACGGGCCGATTTTCACGGGTCATGGCCGGCCCGTCCGTCTTGACACCTCTACCTCTAAATATTGTAGGAAAAATACGTAAGCTTTAGTACACCAACCGACTTTTACCCTTTGAACAACTCACAAAAAGGACAAAAAATTTAAAATACTAAGCTCTTGTTTGAACTATATTATTTTTTTCATTCTCATTATTTTACTTATTTTCAATCACACATTTTTCAATAAAATAATATTTTTCATCTTATCAATAATTTTTCTTTTTTTTTTAACCACATATTCTTCATCACATAAAAAAATGCTTTCTTGGGTTGATAATGTGCACCAAACAGGAGGTAAACTTGCAAATTTTCCTATCGAAAAACATCCTCAACTCCGAAGAGACATGACTTGGTCTAAATTCTAATTACACGATTGACCAAGCTAAGTAGAGTAGTGCCGATGGTTTTATTCAATTCAATCAACAATCCTATTCAAATATGATTTGAAGTCGTCAACCGCATGTGAAGTTGTGACCGATTACAATTCCAGACTTTTTCTTCTATCTACAATTGAAGTCTTAATCCCAACAACTACAGCAATACACTTTGACTCACTAAAAGCTTTCAGCATAAATTTGATTGAAGTATGATCGTGACTATGTATAGAATTCTCAATACCCACTAATGTAACTGAGGTTTTTCAATTATAGTTACATGAAAGGTTATTATCCTTTATTCATTATCATATTCGTGTCCTTAACTTTTTTTTTTTATTTGTTCATTACATTCTTATTTTTAATATTTCGTTGATAAGTAAATATTGTCCTTAATCAGGATTTTCAACAGAAAACATTTTTAACGTGTATTAAAATGAGGGTAAAATATTTAGTCAAATTTTTGCATTATTATTCTTAGAACTTGAGTAGGACCCGAATTCCTTGTTGAAATAATTGAAGAATTCTAATTGAAGTGCACATCAAAAAGAATTCAGTTTGGAATACTATTGAAATTTTATGTCAAGTTGAAGTTCTATTTTGGAAGCCTATTGGGAGTTTGAATTTGTTTTGAACTTGATTTTTTGATATTTTGTTTCTTCAACAACTCTATTAGGAGGGTTTGAATATCCCCTACATGTTCCCTATTAATATTAGTTCATTCTATACAATTTTATGCATGTAAGAAAATAAATTACTAGAATTATATGATCTATTGTAATTTTGTCTCTTCTCCATAATTATTGAGTCAATAAAATCTCTTAATTCCTCTACCATATTCTTGTTTTTATTATTCTTTTGATTGATTATATACTTCATTGTTATTTGCTATATAACTTCAACATCTCAATCCGATGGTTTGTTTTATAATAATTGGTATCAGAGCTATTCTGGTTCTTATTTGTTTTACAACAAGTGGTATCAGAGTTTAGGTTTAACAGTTCCTCAAGAACGCATGATTGATTTGTTTGAAGTTTTTTTTGTTCGTGATGACTTTCATGAAGTATGACATTTCGTTTTTTGATCAGAGTACTAGATTTTTGCTATGGCAAATTAAGATACGTGTGGCATTCGCACAACTGAATTTGGATTATGTGTTGCTGGGGATTGACAAGATACCGGCCATGGATTTCTAGCTTTATTGGTTAGATTTCCATAGGCTGGACTATCCAAATACTAGTGTTTTTAACCAGAATTCCTCTTTTGGGGATATGTCGAACAATTCTACTTTGCATCAAATATTTTAGTCTTGATCATTTACGAAGTTCTCATACGATGGGATTCAATTTTCCTTTTTCTTCACTCAAACAAGGAGAAAATAGTACTCCCAAGTTTTCAAGAAATGGGTGGCAGTTCTTTGAATGTTCACAGCAGTCTAGCAACTTTATTAAGTCATTGAGCTCTATAAACCAAATTTTTTTACTGAAAATTACAGCAACAAAGATTGGCTATTTTTTGTTTAATAGAATGAGAAGAAAAACCGCGTCTCACTTACAATTGAATTCACCGAGACTTGTTTGGGTTTAGGTTTAATAAGCTAGTATTTAATTTCTGACTTGGAGAGATTTAACTGGCCACATGTATATTCCATTATCCACGTCGGCAAGATTAGTAACGGAAGTTATCCAGTGTGTAATGGAGTGCAACTTTATAAAATTGAGTGAGTAATGAGATGCAAATTAAAATACAGTGAATGAAACGTGATCTTATCTAAAGTTCTATTGTGTTCGAACAATTAACTCTAACAAAAACACCATTACTGAGTAATATTGCACTAATGCCCAATCTCTGCTCATTAATGATTTGCTTGCGGAAATTGTAGAGGATAACACTTCCAAACAGAAGAAAAATGCACGGTTAAATTGTTTGACAACCATTCTTTTTCTCATATTCATTTTTAATCACGTATTCTCACAATAAAATATTCTTTACGTAAATTTAAAAAATTCTTACTTTTTAACCACATATTTTCTCAAAATTTACTATTAAAAAACTCATTATTTTATCTATCAAACAGTTAAATGGCTGTTCTCTTTGTATTTCAGTTTTGTATTTTGAATTTATTTTGGGTTTTATGTTTTGAGTGATTATTCTGAGATTTTTGAAAATATGTTTTTTTTTTTGACATTTTAAAAAATTGTTTTAAAATCGAAAATAGAAAACGACTTGAAAATGGTAAAGAAAACGGATTCTAAATTTTTTTAATGGTACAAGGAATTCAAAATTATTTTATAAGATCCAAATCTGATTAAAGAAGATTCAAAAATTAATATAATTAATTTAAATATAATTAGAATATTAGATCCATTGGGAGACGAGACCAATCAATTCGAGGTCAAATACTGGTCTGTGCGATTACTTTTTGAGATTCGAGATAATGAAACGTGGCTCAGTCTTTGTTTTACACGTTACCCTTGGAAATATGTATGTCTGACACGTGTTATTTTTTTATAAGCACCACTCGACTTTAAACAATTATTTGACAAATCTATTGATAATAAATGATTTTTCAAATATAAAAAATAACTACCGGTGAGATGACACATCGCTTTAAATAATTATTTGACATTGACTTGTATTATACTAAGCGATGGAGTTCCTTCTAACATTATACTAAGGGCGTGTTCGGTAGAGATTAAAATTAAAAAATTAGTCATTATTATTGACTTTTATTAGACGAGTGAGACCCAATAACGACTATATTTTCGATTTTAATTGGATTAAAATCCCTCCCAAACAAACTCTAAAATATTAGCACTTGTTTGATTTAGCCAAAAATTAATTTATTAGTATATTTTGATAAAAATTAATGAAATGTGTGGATAAAAATTGTGAATTTCGATTGATACTAAGGGTGTGTTTGAACCACATTATTTTGGAATAGTAGATTGATGAATAATGTGTGGTTGAAAAAGAAGGAAAAATTATTGATATGATGAAAAATATTATTTTATTGAAAAATGTGTGATTGAAAATGAATAGAAAAATGAGAATGAAAAAAATAATGTNGAAGTTACAAAGCTTGGTTCTACATCTTGAAGCTTTGTTAATTTAGGTCTATGATGACTAATTGATGAGTTTCGATTATAGAAAAATTAAAATCATGACGATTATCCATATAATTTATGGTATAAGTCATGATATTCACTCAAATATAAGTAATTTTTTTTCATGATGGTTGCTTATAAAGCGTCGTGAATTTTATGGTATGGAATTATTAAAAAAAAAATGTATTACATTACGTGATGGGATGGGGTGGATCGTTCGCTCACCTTCAACGTTAAAAGTCCCCACAAGTGTTGCTAGACTTTTTTTTTTTTTTTTTAAAAACTCATTTTCAATTAAACAATCTCCTAATAAAATAATTTTATAAATAATTCTATGTTTTTCCTACTTTTTATCCACACATTTTTCAAAAAAACTATTATTACAAAGAGCTCGTTTGGTAAAATTAAAATCAGATTTTAATCTAAATCAAAGTCAAATAATCAATATTAATCACATCTTTTATGGGTCCCACAACATTTCAACCGCACATTTTAAAAATTTTTATCACAATCTATTAAAAATCTAATTTTAATCCCCACCGAACACCCCCAAAATATATATCCACAAAAAATTTATGGAAGATTGAATATGATTAAAAGGAAAGACTCTCAATTAATTATCGAACACGCTCATTATCCTAATCCAACACGGATAGTGTGACATAATTCCAATAATGTTTCTTATGTGATTTACCAAAAATCTCCCTCTCTCCTTATACACAATGCAAATAAAAATCTCACATATATATATTTATTTATTTATTTTATTTTTCAACATTTATGAACCTTAACCTACAAAACCTAACTTGTAACCACCTCAAAAACCAGCCCACTGTAAGAATTACACCAAGTTTATTTAACCTTTAAATCTCAACCGTCCACCTGTTCATCTAACGGCCCTTTTTTTTTTAATTCAGTCACGCTTATCACCCCACCGCCACCTCGCTCCTCACCCACTCCAAAACCCGCAATCCCTTTCTATCAAAAATGCCTTGTCTCGTCAAAGATCACTCACTTTCACTCCGATCCCTTTCACTCTGAAAAATTCGACGCCCATTTGAAAAAATAAATAAAGGAACAATCACATTTTGTATGGAAAGAACCAAATTTATTCTTGCTGTTTAAATTTTGTCATGAAAGTTTTTATATCTCGTTAATAAGATTAATTTGGGGTATGCATAAAAGACTGGATTTTTATGATTTTTCGGGACATTTTAGTGTATTTCTTGCTAACTTAAGTTACAGGTTGTAATTTTTCTGAGGGGTTTTCCGAATTAATTTAAGTTTTTCTTGCTTCTTTTTTATACGGTTGGATATATACACAGTGTGGCTAAAATGGTTACAGATAGTTACTCGAATATGATATCGGAAATGGGAATTCGATCGATCGGTAGGGGGAGCAGCAACAATTACAGCGAAGAGCTGGCGATTTTTCTGAGGGAGAAAGCAGCTCAGCTAGACGCGAGTGATCAAGAGCTCAACCTTCTACGCAGTGGTTCTGCTCCGCCCACTATGGAGGGATCCTTAAGCACTGGCCTATTCGGTATCGGTGGTGTTTTGGAGGAGGAGCTGAGGTCTGATCCATCCTACATTTCGTACTACTACCAGAATGCAAAATGGAACCCGCGCCACCCACACCCGTTGTTATCCAAAGAAGACTGGCAATTTGCTCAGAGGCTGCAGGGCGCAGTTGGGGGCGGAGGGGGCTCCGAGGTTGGGGATAGGAGGAGAGTGAGTAGCAATGACTTTGGTGGAGGGGATTCACTCTTCTCCATGCAGCCAGATCTTGGAGTAGGAAAAGGTGAAAATAAATTGGAGGTGGCACAACAGAAGGAATGTAGTGGTGATGGATTGTTTGTTTTCCCGGGAATGAGATTAATGAGTAAGCAGAAGAGAATTGGAGGAATGATTCAGGTGAAAAAAAAAATTAAAAATCTCGTTTCTTTTAAAGCATTGGTTGTGCTATCCTTTGATGGCTGTTATCAGTTAGTTTGAAATTTATTGTTATTGAAGGTTAATAATATCTCGTGCTTGTTATTGGACGCATGTTACTGGATTCATTATGATGATTTGAGGATATATGACAATGATACATTTTCTGGATTTATGCCTTTTAGACTGGACATTATTCGTGCAACTACATTTCAATAGTTGTAGAATGCGGTGATAGTTTAAAAATGCAGCCATTTATGTTATGCGGATATTTATTTTTCAGGTTCTGATCATTGAGAAGAAAAAAAGTAAATTTTTATCATGACCACAATTGTTTATATTTTCTGTTGTTTCTTCAAGTTATAATATATTTGCCATGAATTTTGCAGTTTTCACATTGATAAGTAATTATCTATTGTTATTGAATTTGTCAGTATCTTTATCACTGTCAGCATGCTAATAAATATGCCATGCCGCATTTACATCAAAAGTGCTGAGAAATTGCTTTCAAAAATGCTCTTAGTGTGGTGTCACTTTTTGGTCAAGTGAAAGTGGGGTCTCTCGAAGCAGGCAATGACTTGAACTAAAAGAATTTCTATCCCGTTAGCAATAGTTTTGCAAGCAAGAGATATTTTACCCCTCGTGTTTGCTAGGCAGTTTAGGAGAGGAAGCGAAGTCTAAGAAACCTTTTTTTCAGTAATGTGATAATATTTTTACTTGCACTCTTCGGTACATTGTATGCTAATTGTTTGGATTAAAGGGCCAATATTATGCTTTTGGGTTTAATTAGATAGGGTCAATTAAGATTGCATAAACTGATATTGAACAGTTAAAAATAGTAACAAGTCTATGTGCGTTTGTTAGTAAACTCATCAAAATAATCATCCCTTCATAGCAATCAAACAACCAAGCATATTTGCACTTTATCATATTAAATGTGAAGTTATGATATAAAAATATTATTGCATATCTTTGTATATTTGATTTTGTTGTTTTCGAATATCCCGTATTTGTGATTTTAAAATTGTGATAGGTTTTGTGAGCTGTTAGTTTGTACTCAAATTCATTAAACTTTTGTTTCATCTCCACTGCTTTTGGTTCTTGAATGAAGACTCTGATAATGATGCAGGATGATACGAGTAATACACCATTGGTTTGTAGACCTCCATCTTGCCCTGCCAGCCATGCATTTGAAAATGACAAATCTTCTGATTCACATGCCGCCAATCATCATGAGATAGAATCATTGGATGCATTTTGTACTGGCATAAAGGCTAAAGGAGCGTCATCACTGCAAAGCATTAATCCATTAGCTCCTCATACGTATGCCTCTTCTTTAGCTGCTTCTTTGTCAAGAACTGCTACTTCTGACCCTCAACTTATTGCTAGAGCTCCTAGTCCTCGCATCCCTCCTGTTGGAGGTGGAATGATGAGCTCACTGGATAGGACAAATGTGAATATTCCTAAGTCATTTGATGGTGTTTCGCCTAATATTAGCCACTCTGCCAATTTAGTTACTGCTTTGTCTGGAATGAGTCTGTCAGCGAGTAGCATGGTGGATGAAGGGCAGCATCCAACCTCTCAGATTCATCATGAGATTGATGCTCATCAGACTCTGTTCCATTCGCGAAGTGATCTATCTGCAATCAAGAACAGTTCATACTTGAACAAGTCTGGTATGATGCAATATTATGATCTAGCTATGTCCTCAGAAAATTTATTATCGAAGGGGTCATCTATGGCTACTCTGAATAGTGGAGGAAGTCCATTATCTCAGTATCCTAATAATAGTCTGAATTCATCTCTATCAAACAACAGCTTTGGTGGTTTTGCTACAAATCCCTCATCACCATCTATGTCGGGAAATCCGCTTGGTGATGGTAATTTTCCATATTTGGTTGAGAACATTTCTACTGGCACTGTGATTGGATCTGTAATCAACTCTAGAGCAATGGAAGGAGGCTTGATTTTAGGACCTAATTTATATGCTGCTGCATTGGAACTGCAGAGTCTGGGTAGACTTGGAAATCATAGTGCAGAACATGCTTTACATATGGCACTAATGGACCCGTCATATCTTCAGTACTTGAGATCACATATGGAGTTGCTTGGGTTGCAGAAACCTTACCTTGAAGCTTTAATTCAGAAGTCGCAATATGGCCTTGCTTTCGGCAAAACCGGTAATCTGAATCATGGTTTCTATGGAGACCCTGAATTTGCTCATGGTATGTCATATCCTGGAAGCCCAATGGGGGACCCAGTTATCTCTAATCTCTCTTTCAGATCTAGTAGTCCTGTCAGGCATGGAGAACAGATCATGCATTTTCCTGCAGGGTTGAGGAATATACCTGGCTGTTTTATCGGTGGTAATTTGGAGGAAAGTTTTGCGTCTTCTTTGTTGTATGAGTTCAAGAGCAATAAAACTAAGTGTTTCGATCTTGCAGAGATTGCCGGTCATGTTGTTGAGTTCAGGTAGATATTTCAGGAGAGGACTTCTAAATTTGTTTGGCCCACCTCTAAAACCCTACAAGTTGTTGAAAACCTTTATTTTGCAGTGTGGATCAGTATGGAAGTCGGTTTATCCAACAAAAACTTGAAATTGCCAGTGTACAAGAGAAGAATATGGTCTTCCATGAAATTATGCCCCATGGACTTTCCCTGATGACAGATGTATTTGGTAACTACGTAATCCAGAAGGTATGGAATTTCAAATTCTGATGTCTGACATTTTATACATATTTTTGGGATATTCATGTGTTATGAAGTATCTATGTAAATTAATTGGCATGAACATAAGAGTTCACGATATTTTCTGGTTCTTATTCTTTTTTCAGTTTTTTGAACATGGAAGTGCATCACAGATTAGACAATTAGCTGAGCTGCTAACTGGGCATGTCCTAAACCTTAGCCTCCAAATGTATGGTTGCCGAGTAATCCAAAAGGTAATTTAGATCTTACACCTAATTATGATGTCTATGAGACCATGACGTGTTTTATAAGTCTTACAAATTGAATAACTATTCTCTGTTTTGTACGCTTTTCACATATAGTCAGTAATTTATATGCTGTGTTTTACTATGGAAACTCAGGGAGTTATCGAGGTGCCTCTAAACCTGCATTTTACATTTCTTAGAGCCTGTTTGGTAGGATTTTTGGGGGAAGAATTGATTTTGAATAGTGATATGATGGGAAATGTGTCGTTGAAAAAGAAGAAAAAAATTATTGATGTGATGAAAAATATTATTTTATTGAAAAATGTGTGGTTGAATTTTGGGGGAAGAATTGATTTTGAATAGTGATATGATGGGAAATGTGTGGTTGAAAAAGAAGAAAAAAGTATTGATGTGATGGAAAATATTATTTTATTGAAGAATGTGTGGTTGAAAATAAGAATTGATTTGAGAATTGATTTGAGAATCAGAAACAAACAGGGCCTTAACTTTCCTGAAGTCCAGCTCATTAATAGTTCTCGACATAGTGTCTGATGATGTATATTTCATGATTCTGGATAGCTATATATGTTTCCTGAAACATGTTTGCTGCATCAGTTCATAGGATAATCATTTGTTAGTCCAAATGCCTGAAGAATGCTATCGATTATTTTTATTCTGTAACTTTTACTTATTGGTCCATTTTTCTCCTTACTTTTTTTCATTTTTGTCATGGAGTTGTCCGAGTAGAGCTGTGAGAAAAAAAGGTGTAAGAATAGCTAGCATACAAGTATCACCATATCTGGACAATCATAAATATATCTGCTTTATAAAATTTTTGGTGGTTTGTCAATTTTTATAATTGGCCTTTTGGTCTTAAAGCAGGTTTTAATACTTCACTTCCTCGTATTCTTGGTTGAGTCAGTATGTTAATCCAGACTAAACTGTAGAATGTGAAATTGCTTCTTTTAGCATGCGAAAAATGTAATTGTATACAAATATGATACAGAGTCCTTGATGCTTGATAACTTTGGCTTGACTTATCTTTTGATTATCCAGGCAATAGAAGTTATTGAGTTGGACCAGCAGAGTAGAATTGTTGCAGAGCTTGATGGTCATGTTATGCGCTGTGTGCGCGATCAGAATGGGAATCACGTCGTACAAAAATGTATTGAATGTGTTCCTGAAAGTGTCATTGAGTTTATTGTTACAACATTTTACTATCAAATTGTGACAATGTCCACTCATCCATATGGCTGTCGTGTGGTACAGGTAAAGAAACTAGCTGCATTTATGACTATTTTCGTGTTTGGTGACCACCGGTGAACAGGATTATACAATTAAATGGTCAAAAATTTAATTTTCTCTGTATACTTCATACTGTCCGGTCCACCTTACCAAACATGTCGTATAAGATTTTATAGCTTGGAATACCAATGCAAAGATTGCAACAATTCTATTATAACTTCATCTTCGTTTTTCAGAGAGTCCTGGAGCACTGCCATAAACCCCAAACCCAGAGCATGGTGATGGACGAGATTTTGCAATCTGTTTTCATGTTGGCACAAAATCAATATGGAAACTACGTTATTCAGGTTTGCAAGATCTTCTGGAAGCTTGTATGACGAAATATATTTCTTAGAAATGTGAAGTTTAAGGGAAAACATAGGTTTAAATAATTCAGTTGTCTTTTGATATCATCTTCGTACATGACACGCTTGTTATCCATGTTGGAGCCTGTCATATTTCTTGATTTGTTGTATGTTTTTAAACCTAGTCATTTGGTTCTGCCATATATTATGACAGCATGTATTGGAGCACGGGAAACCACAGGAGCGATCAGCTATAATTAATCAATTAATTGGGAAGATTGTTGCAATGAGCCAACAGAAGTTTGCGTCCAATGTCATAGAGAAATGCTTATCATTTGGAACTCCAGGAGAACGTCAGACTTTGGTAAATGAGATTCTTGTCTCCACTGACGAAAATGAACCGCTTCAGGTTTGTAATATGTTTAGATGATATAATGATAAAACCATAGCATATGTCCAGGTTTATTTGGATGCTTATTTTTTCCCGAACTTTATCAATTCTCTCCTTTATTTTTCAAGCTTTTATCAATTCAACTAATACTCTGAATCTCCATTGGCTTCACCTTCTAATTGGTTACACGTGATTTATTCTTTTTGGAATCAGGTCATGATGAAAGATCAGTTTGCGAACTACGTTGTACAAAAGATGCTGGAGACTTGTGATGATCAGCAACTTGAGCTGATTCTTAACCGAATAAAGGTTCATTTAAGTGCTCTTAAGAAGTATACATATGGGAAGCATATTGTTGCCCGTGTTGAGAAACTTGTTGCTACTGGAGGTATCCTTCTACTCCCTGCTAATACACTCGAATAATCATCCCTCATTACACTAGCTTCTTCTGGAATTGACTGTTTTTGCTGTATTTTTTAATTTTCATCATTCAATGTTGAATTGTCATTGAGCTCAAAGGGTTGGTCAATTTTTAACTTTAAGCTGGGAAGCAAAGTTCATACTTTTGACTTTTGGTTTTGCTAACAAAACGAAATCTGATGTTGCACTTGCATTATGGGGTTCCAACTCCCATGTCACCTTTTCTTCAGAAAACATGCCTAAACTATCCTTTCTTACATGGGGGATCACATTACGTGTACGTCGCTTAGTTTTTGATATTGGAAATGTTTACTTGCATCTCTTGCAGAAAAGAGGATCAGCATCCTGTCTTCATCTTCTGCTTGAATTCATAGGGACCGGAAGTGTACAGCTAACTGAGATAAGTGAGAGCCTTCTTTCCTTTTCATGTCGGCCCATGGTTCCTTTTGGGTTTCAGCTGGATTGAGCTAATTTAAAATAAATCATGTTGGTTGTACCTAAAGTTGTAAATTGTTAGTTCAAGGATATACCTGGAGTCATGTTAGCAAGGCTCAGGTGGTGAACATACCTGGTGACCCTTCAGTGGAGATAATAATTACTGTAGAATTGAGGTTGTAAAGAGGAGGAAAGTGTAATGTTATGATGGTTACTGTAAGTTCTTCTAACGTATGGATGATTTTTCTAAAATCAGGTCGGACTTTGTAACTTGAGATATTCCAGTTTGGGTGCTTCTCCATCCAATTTTCTAGCCAGGGTGTATCTAACTCTAACATAATCAACATACTTAACATCATTTTTGTAGATTCTAGGACGATAATTCTCTTACACAATGGTTTCAAGTTGGTTTAATTCAATGTCATAGCCTGGAATCGCAAATGTTGCGATAGATATTCTTTCCTTTTCTTGTTTTTAATAGCTCTATGTTCAATGCTCTTGTACAAACCATTGCTTTAGGCCTGAGAGACCAAGAATTACAGGGACACGACGATGCATTTAGGAGATTGAACTTTGATGGTATGATCAGTACATTAAATTGAACACGAGCATATATGATTAAGGTAGACGCTGTTTATTAGTCATCACTCGTGTGAAAGAAAGAGACTGGAATGCGAAAAATTATCTCCAACACACCTCAATAATGTTGATCGATAATGCATTGGAAAGTGGCTTTACCGGGAACCATGCTCCTTGTGCTTAATTTGGAGGGCAGTAACATCGTCATCTTGTTAATGTGGACTAAGACCAAATACTAAATCAAGCTTCGATCTAGGATTGTAGGTCATTCGCACGGCTAGTTTCATAATCCCTTGCATTTCTTTGAGAAAGCCTCTCTCCATGTCCATTAGTTTCGATGTAGTGCTAAAGATCTGTTCATTACCCTCAGTCGATTACTTTCCAAGTGTTTCCCTGTTAAGGTAAATTATGAGACCTGTGATTATTCCAAGATTATACAACAGGTGTGCTCTTGAAATATTTACGAAAATTGACACAAATTAGGAAATAAAGATGATGTGGCTAAACAAGGAACGCACAAAACAGAAAAGATAAGCCAGGAGGCATAGCTCTAGAATGCATGAGCCATGTGAAGGATCAAATGGGAAGGTGCACAAGAACAAATAAACTATTGATGAACAGATTTTATTTCACCGCAGAAAAACGATATCAGGTGTTGGGGATTTATCTCCCCCACAGCCCAGGATTAATGCAGAGAACAAGAAAGAAAATGCACCAGCTATTGGTGAAGTAAATGACAGTAGAAACGGATGAAATAACCAACAAGACAATGAACCAGCAGAAAGAAAACGGAGCAGAATTGGTAACAGGAAGAGTTCTTCTTCCTCAATCTTTATTGACCAAAGATTAACATTCAATTACATGAATCAATCACCATAACGAGGTGATCCACCTTACAAAATCAGATCCTATTACAGAAAGAATTTCTACCAGATTGATTTTCCAGAAAATGGCATTTTTCTCACAATCTCACTTTCTCTCTGATTTTCTATGGTACATAATTCCTTCTACCGGAATTCTCTCTAATTCAGAGCTTCCTTTACCGAGCTTCTCCTTTACTAGAGCTTCTCCCTCCTTTACCAGAGCACCCCTTTCTTCCAGATTTTCGAGCTCCTTTTTCTTTTATCTTGAGTTGTTTTCTCGTGAACCTGAGGCTCCTATTTATAGGCATAATTGAGGCTCCTTTTCGGTTATTAACTACCAATAAACATAGGCTCCAAGTTGTTGAAGATTCCAACCGAAAAACTGTAATAGAGGCTCCTCCTTTGCAAGAAATTTTCTTCCAACAGCTTTTTGTAAAAGCTAAGGAATCTTCAAGGAATCACTTCCTTACATCAGGTAATCTACTGATCAAAGTCTTCACAAATTTCTTCCAAAATTCTGATGGATTTTTCCCTCGTAATTTTGCCTAATTGGCTGTAAATACCTTACCGCCAAAGATTACCCACTAACGCAATTGATATATTCAAAATCTTGCATAAGTGAACCAATATTGAGAAAATTTAACTTCAATATATTTGATTTTAAACAGGAACTGGTATGACTGATCTTGAGTTGAGTTTAAAACAAATGTCGGATAATTTCATAGGCTTGGCTCAACTCGGAATAATTTTTTTTATGCATAACCCAAAGTGGGTCTATATAGTGTGTAGTTGCAGCTATATAACCTCTCTTATTAATCATTTCCCACAAATTCGAAGTTAAAGATATCACACCCCCATATTTTTCTAAATCCGTAATCAATAATTTCTTTGCATTAAGAAAATATTTAATTATATTAGAACGAAGAGTATTTCGACTTACCCCAACGCACCTCGATTGAAGATATTGTTTGACGTAGTTTAAGAAATGTTGGTTGTCCACTATTGCTAATGGCAACTCCGCCGTGGCAATGAACTGCATCATTCCCGTTCGAGCTTCCTCTTCCGAATACATCCACGTAGAAAGTGACGTAATAGTAGCATCGGCGCTACTAGTACCAAACTGTAGTTGCGTTTGACCACGTTTAAAAAGCTCATGTTTGGCCGCACAAGTTTTGTAGTGACGGTTGAGGTGAATGGTTTCAATGTCTTTTTGCCATGCCATCGTTGTTAACAGTATTTACATACTGCTTTGATTTCTGGAAGTTCATCGATCACACGACCAGTGTTAACCAATTTGAAATGGTCCCAACATTTTGCCTGCTTCTTCCCCTTTCTCTTCCCTCTTGCATCGGGAATATTTAGTGCAGGTTCTTCATCTTGTTCCAAATCAATAGGAACACTAGGATCAACATCAACNAATTGGATTGGGATGACTACCTTCACAAACATCGAAATCTTCAATGTCTTCTGGAATTGGTAATTCATTAAGACCGGCAAATTTATTCCCAAATTGATTTTGGACAGGCGTTTCTCCTTCCATACAGAACAAGGTTTCAACAAATACTCGTGGATCCATTTGTGAATTGTAGAAATAGAATGTTGAAATAGAATGTAGATATGTTCTTGATGGCTGTTATCAATCCTCATGTTCATCTTGAGGGGGAGTAACAGAATAAAGCATCAACCACAGCAGCACACGAGTTGAGCTGGAGCTGGAATAAGTTGGGAATTAGTTAGCTAGCTTTATTAGTTAATTTACATGTCTACAATGTATTGGCCCTTATAAATCTCAGTTAGTTAGCTTTCCTTTTCTATAAATAGCAGCATAATGACTTGTATTTGATTAAGAATTTTGATTTCACGATGAATAAAATCTGAGGATTTTTCCCTCAATTCTTCTTCCTAATTTCTTCTAATACAGGAAAATGCCACACAACATAGAGAGGAAGTATTAATTGAATTTAAAAAACAAAATGAATACAAGGACACTAAAAGCTGGAAAAGGGAATAATAATGTAGCATGATTTGTGGATTTACAAGCACTATAACACCCTTGTACAAGTCGATTTTAAGTGCCTGTTCTAACCAAAGTGATTGCTACAAATGGCATCAAAGCAAACATAAATTTCATTAGCAATTTTCAGATTGGAAATTTAAACTATTAAAATTTTAAAAAATTACTATTTTCATTCACGTCAAATTATAGTATTGTCCTTATTAAATTCATTCGTTTAAATATTTATAGTTCCACACAAATTTTATATATTCATCTCACTATCAACATCTAATCTGGTTCTTACTTTTCCTTTTCTATATTGCCACCTCGGTGCTTTAATATTCAATTGCAATGATTAGTGAATCTCTTTTCTTGAATTTGTTGGATTCTCTCAAAAGTACATTGCTCACGCAATCAAATAAATTCCTCGAATCTTATGTTAATTAATTATTATTATTATTTTTGCTTATAAGCTAATAATTTTGACTGTTTGGGTTTTGTTTGGTAATTTCAAGTTTGTTTCTTTTTGTAATGTAAGAATATTTGTATAGGTATTGAAACTTATTTTGAAATTTCCGTCAAACCAAAACTTAAAACAAAGCATAAAAAATAAGATTCCATTTTCCATATCATGAAAGAATTATGACTAAAATAATGTGTTGATTTTTTTCTAATGGTAATCCTTGTTTTAATTGTTGAAAATGATATTTTATGATTATTAGGATTTTAGTTATATACAAATTCTAAAAGAATATAAAAAGATTTAAAATAATTTACGAAAATAAATATGAGTGGATAAATTTAGAACAATACATTTTTATTAAATTTTATATCCGTCTATTTGGTAAATTTACATAAGATTAAATATATATCTTTTAAAAAGTGGATATATATATATAAAGGAAATCAAAATGGGTGCAACTTTAAATTTTAGCATGCCCTCATTCTCAATGCGAAGCACTTCTAAATGCAAACGAACTAATCGAGTTATTCATTACAACAGTTAGCGTGGTTGATGAGTTGAATTAGATGGAAATGGACAGGATTTGAGAAGAAAGAGCCATTCAAGCTTCTCAATTGTTGCTTTTTATTTACGTTCTACATTCAGTAATAATGAAAACTTCTTATAGCTTACAGCAACAGGGAATGTGATGCCAATAAATTTGAGGTTGGCTACATGAATCAATTTGTCCCTCAATTCGATACATTCCTAGAGCTACTAGAAGATCCAAATCAACTAAAAACTTCTCATTGCTTAAATTCCAAATTTCAATTTCTTTCATTGACTACATAGTCGTTAGTTTAAGAAATCTGTTCAATTTCTGTGTCAAGAAATTCCAGAGAAACCAGACTAAACATCAAGCAAGAATCAGTCAAGTGTAATTGAAGTGTGCTTCAATTATACAAAACTGATCAACTTGACCGTTACTTTACATCTGTAACTTCAAATATTCAAGGTTGGTTGCTTTTCCATCCATCTTTTTGGCCAGGGTGTGTCTAAGATATTCAACGTATTTCACATCATTTTTGTAGATTCTTGGACGATGATTCTCATCCACCATGGTTTCAAGAGGGTTCAGTGCAACATCATCTCCTGGAATCACAAATGTTGCAACAGATATTCTTGGTTTTTTCTCGTTTATAAGAGCTCTATGTTCAATGCTCTCGTACAACCCATTGCTCCAGGCCTGCAAAACCAAGAATTAGACTTTGATAACATGTTTAGTATGTTCGATTGTACTAGATTGGATTGAACTGAACTGGAGTGCGTATGGTCAATGAACCAATAGATCCAATATTTGTTTGTTGTCCTATCCAGTCCGGTCTCGTCAAGGTATATTTGAATGGACTAATCATATACCTCGACAACATCACCGATATTCACTACTATTGCATTTGGAACTGGCTTTACTGATACCCATTCTTCCTTGTGCTTAATTTGGAGGGCAGTTAAATCATCATCTTGCACAAGTAAAGTTATGGAGCTGCTATCTGAATGTGGACTAATCCCAAGTACTAAATCAGGCTGAGAACATGTAGGATAGTAGTTCATGCGCATGCCTAGTTTCATAATCCCGTGCAATTCTTTGAGAACTCCTCTTTCCATGCCCATTAATGATGATAAATTGCCAAAGATCTCGTATGTTATCCTCTCTAATTCTATTGAGTACTCTTCAAGTGCTTCCCTGTTAAGGTAGACATGGAAGAAAATGAGATTAATTTTGTGGAATGAAATTGAAAGGATCAATAAGACTGATATCACAAAAACATATTAGGCCACAACAAGTCTAGTGTCGTTGATTACAGTCCAACTGAGATATGCAACACGATACTGAAACAACATCGTACAAGACAACGGACAAGATTTTAATTTCTAACATGCCACATGCTATAAATTTTGACTTTTTCTAGTACTAACTCTTCTGTTGAGGATTTCAGCCTTACAATGAATTCAGTATTTCAACCTTAACAAAAGATCATTACTTATGTGAATGTATAAATGTCCCCCCTTGGTAGCTAAGTTTTTAGATGAGGTGTTTAAAAATGGTATCAAAGCAGCAAAGGTCATCAGTTTGAGTTGTCGCCACCATTTATGAAAATGGTGCATGTGTCAAGTATTTGATGAAAAAAATAAAACTGACTTTCCCATGACGGATCTAAGCTTTTAAATGAGGTGATATAATGATATTGGATACATACTTGAAACCTGGTATTGCGATGGGCCAGTACTTCATATTCCTGATATAAGATGGCATTGTCATCAAAAGCATGCTGTCGCTCCAATCAAGTTTCTGCTCGTCTGATACAACGTAAAATTGTCCATATCCTTGAATATCATTTGCTGCCATTCGATATTTCATTTTTTCACACAATGGGAGTTCAAAAAATGCTGCTACGGCTGCCTTCATCTTTGGTAAGACTTCATCTGCACCATGATTTATGATCTGCAAATTTTTTGTTTTATGAGATGCCATCAAATTAAAAATGGTGGTTGGGATTAAGCCCTAATCCAAATTATGAGCACAACAAGAAATAAACAAAAATAATAGAAACACTTCTAGCAATTTGTAGGAATCTGTCTTCAGTGTGAGAAATAAGTCCACTTGTTGCTGCCCGTAGTTTTTCAAGGATCGCTCGTCTCTTTCTCCTAGAAACAGCCCCCTCTTTAAAATCCCTTTATATATGATAACAAATACTAAAGTGAACTAAACATGTATGGACTATCAAATATAACCTGAATAAAATGCCTCAGGAATAAAATAACATTATTATTAGGCACCACAACAAAAATAGGTTAACTACTTGTCGTTTTTGCATTATTACCTGAAAGAAACCCCACTCCTTGCAAGCAATATCAAGCCTTCTTCGTTCTTCTTCATCTCCATTAGTGAGCAGAGATAGATTTATGATTGGGATATCAAGTAAAAGTGGAAGTCTTTCAGAACTTAAAGGCCTATCCTCGAGGTTTTTTATGTATCTTTTGGGGACATTATTAGCATCATTTCTTACAATCTCCTGCACACTTGGCACAGGCAAAGAACTTCCATAACCTAATGCTTTATCCTCATACTCTGTAGCCATAATAGCCAACTGTGCATACATGTATCTTTCCAATGTGCTGGTGCATTTATAGATGGGAATCGATACATTAGGTCTTCCTCGGGGATAACCATCAAGTTAATTTCTTTTTCTTTTTCCATTTTTTTTTAAGTTAGGAATCTATTGATTAATCTTCCATTCGATATGCCCATAAGAAGAGGACGGAATTCTGTTTCTTCTTTCAGATTGGCATGTTGCTGCATATTGGAAGCTTGTGATCATCTTGGTAATGTTGACAGTTTATATATCACAAGATGGGTATAAAAACTAATAGGCATTATTTTTCACTTTGGACTGTATGTTTTGTCTGCATTGTAAAATTTATGAGTTTTGATACAAATTTGGAAAGGTAAAGCTTTGGCAGCACAAGGAGCGTACGAGGCACGAAGGAGAAGTTCAAGTCATTGTTAGATTTCAAGGTCTTACCCCGTCAAGACATTAGATTCGTAGCTAAAAAAGCACAAGATATGTGAAGGATGGCCAAGAGAGGCTGAGTCGAAGATCGAACCAACCACCAAAGGAATCTAGTCTTGTACATATTGTTAGGATTTTGACTTCGTATTTTCCTAATTAAAATAGGTATTGAATTTTAATTGTTCGTTTCCTAGTAGTATAGAATTTGTGGTGTTGAGAGTGATTTATTGTTTTCTATTAAAATGAGATTAGTTATGAGCCTATTTTCCTGATCCCAGTTTCTAAGATACTATGGACTATCTTGGGGTGAGACATGAAAATTCTTTGTAATCTCATTTGGTAAATTACTTTATCAATAAAGTAGAACAAAGAAAGTAAAACGAAAAGGACAAAATAATACAAATAACTCTCCTCTCGACCGAACGAGATTTGCACGTCTTTGAAAGAACCTGCTGAAAGATCTTTGATTTTCGGAAGCGAGGCAAAAACACGGAATCCAAACAGAAGGACGCCTGCACAGCAGAACCATAATATAGGGATCAACTATCACAACAAACATAATTTATTACAAATTCATTACCGAAAATCTCGTTAAACGCATTATGGAAAAACAAAAATACAGCAACAGCTAATAGCTTACTAAAAAACGCTGTTTAAAAATGGAAAACAAAAAAATATTGAACTACAAGAAAATCCCAGAAAAAGATCTTTCATTGAAAATTTAAACATATAAAGAAATGAACCGCCACCCCCACCCAAAAAAAACAAAAAATGGCGCACTACAGGAGAAATCCCTTTCTCCTTAGCTTATGGGATGAATTATGGGATGAAAGTCAAGGTGCCAGTCGAAATCGGCGTGAGTTCGGCCATGAGAATGGGATATGAAGAAGTATAAACGTGAACCTAGACCTTACAAAGGAAAAGTGAGAATGAAATTGAATTCTCATATAGTCAACAATCATTCCCCAGTCTACTATCCTTTCTTTCAGAAGATCTGCTAGCAATCATTATTAGTGCTTTTTTCAATCAATAACCAGAACATAGAACTCACTTCACACAAGCTAAAATTGAAAATTCAGAACAGATCTTAAGCTAAAAGAAAAATAGAAATAGAAAACATTAACATACCGACTATGTGAAAGTCGGAAAGATATCTGAATAGCATCTATGAAATCAGAGATATTTGGGAGAACAAATGACCATCTTTTGAATGCACTCTTTTTAAACTACCTCCAGAAAGAGCAATAAAATAAGTAGTCATTTCTAGAAACCTACAAATTGAAAATCAGTACTAATTTGATGTCCATAAGAAGTGCTTGTAGAAACTCTAAACAGCCATATACAAAGCCAATCTTTTAATTGGAATGAAAAGATAATGAAGTCATCTCAACCTACATTTCTAGCTCAAAACGAAGCTCATTCATCAACCACAAGAGCCCCAAGTCTAACCGTAATGCTCATTTGCTTTAAAAGCATGTCAAGAGCTACATACTTGTTGACAATCTCCCAAAATGTCCTATTCAAGTGATAAATTCACATCCCAGGGCACCAAGAAAGATTCAAAGAGGTTCAACTAGTTAGTTATACATTCAAGAGAAGAAAACCAATGATGTTCAACATGAATAATAAATACAATTGGATAAGGAAGTTCTTTTTTCTATAAACAACAGAAACCATGAAAAAAATGAAATAAAATCAAAATCACATTTGAGTATTCTAGACTATTTGCCTGCATGTATATCTAAAGAAATATTATTCTCAATCAAATAACTAAATCATCTCAATTTCTGAATATGTTTTATTGAAGTTTTGTGGGAATGCATAAACTTCGATAGTTTCTAAACAAAGTCTGACCCGAAACTTAAAAACACATCAGAAGGTGCCTCATATAACAGAATATTCAATTACTATAATTATGAAATCAAAGGATAAAAAATTCCATAAAAATATTCAATGTTTATACAATTTAGACTGCAAATAAAGAAATTAAAGTAAAGATGACTTCTAGGAAAAACAGCACATTAGACTTTATTTAAACTTGACTTTCTTACAAACCAATGGAGAACATTTTGGTTTCTACCACCGTGCAACACTACAATGAAATGTATACATAGAGACTGTATATAATATTCAAATTAACTCTCCATGGCAAACCTGATGACAATGAGCTTATATGGGGAGTAGAAATAATTTCATCAGAATGCATATTGTGGGGATGCTCTGGAAGCCATACTGGCAACCTGAGCTTGCATCTGAACAGCCCTGACTTTCGAAGCTGTGGCTCGATGGAAAAACTGCTCCCGTGACAAAAGCCTCACATTCCTCAAGTATTGATCAAAAGGTATGGCCCCTTCTTGGACTGCTTTATCCAGTGCGTAAATCACATCCTCCACAACCAAATCAGATGCTGTGCAATCCAGCATCTGTTTTGAAAGGGCATCGCAAGGCTCTAATGTCTCATCCACATCCAGACTATTAATTTCATTATTCCCCATTTTCTCCTCATTCTCGCTCAACCATCCTTCCAACACATCACTATTCATCAAAACCACCTGCAATTGTTGCTCCAACCCCTCATTTTCATCCTACATTTCTTTCAATCCTTTTCCTAATTCCTCCTTACGTTTCCTCA